TAGTTTGTGTGTTCCTATGCCTTAACTTTTTTTTTGCTTTTATTTTTTAAGATAGGGTCTCACTATGTAGTTTAGGCTGGTCTTGAACTCACTATGTAGCCCGGGCTGGCCTCAAACTCCTGGCAATCCTCCTGCCTCAGCTTCCCAAGTGCTAGGATGACAGGGGTGGGTTACCATGCCCAGCTCATGTCTTGATTTGTTGACTATGTGTTAAAACATCACGAATTCAATCCTTTTCTAATAGTCGTCTGTGCTGTGAATGCCCTCGCCCACCACGTGCTTCACAAGGACCTCAGGGACATTGTCAGCAACTTCCGAGGCTTCTACAGGGAGCTCACCAGTGACGGGCAGCTCCGATGGGTAAGGGATCTATTTTATAAGGAGCTTTTACACATACTGTTCCTAAGGTCTGAGATGTCCTCTGATTGCCACAAATGTGAAAATAGAGATGGGTTTGTAATTTTAAAATAAAACATTTCGTTCAGGTAAATTTGGGCTGGAGCCACTCAGACAATTGGCCTTTTGAGGTAATCAGTTCCTTTCTGCAAGGGCTGAATCTGGACGTGTATGGATCCAAGAACTTTCAGCTCTTCTGTGCCTCCCTTCCCTCTCCCTGGATTGGGAAAAGTTGCCTGAGAATAATGGGCTGAACAGAGACCTTCTGGGAAGGAGAATGTGAGAAGCATTGCCATCACTGGAGGAGGACATTAAGGAGAAAACCTGCAGGCTGGGGATTTAGCTCTGGTTTCACCACCTGCTTCACAAGCGCAAGGACCCGAGTTTGATCCCCGGTACCAAAAAAAAAAAAAAAGGAGAAAACCTGAGAGCAGTGTTGAGAAGTCAGAGGACCATGTGCCTCTCTGTGTGTGGGCTGGTATCTGAGCCCTAAGGGCAGAGGTGCCAAAGGGAGGTTCAGAGGAAGGATTCTAACACTGCAAGAGAAATCCAGTAATGTGGGCTCTATCCTTGTCTCCTGATGCCAGTGTTGCCCTTTCCTCGCTGTTCAGTCTCCCATCCATGCACAGACAAGGGCGCAAAGGAATGCGCTTTCTAATTGCCTTGGATTTTACTTTTGACTTTCTGCAAAGCAAGCTCAGCTTTCCTTGAAAAAAGCTCCCACTGGCCAAATCTGGGACAACTGAAGCTTCACAATAAATATGATAAAGTGGCTTATCATAACCTACTGGATAAAATAAGAACCCATGAGTCCATATCATAACAACAAGGGAAAGCTCATCAATACAGTAGAATACAAAGCAATGAATGGTGATGCCAGGAACTCACCATCATGCAACCATCACAGCTATAGCTAATGGATGTGAGTCATCAGTGGATGCTAAAATCTGGGGGTGATAGTTATCTTTTATTTAGAAAAGGAAAATGGTAACTTCACAGTGGAGACACTGAATGGACACGAGTTTACCCAAGCTTTGCAATTTAATAACCCTACTAATAAAAGAAAACAACAACATAATTTACACAGTATGCCAAAAAAATGTATAACTTGAGTCTAGTCATGAAGGAATTCCAGGCCAGCCTATATTGAAGGATGCTAGATAAGTCATCTGACCTATACTCTTTAAAAATGTCAATATCAATAGATTAAAAGATACTAAAGAGACATGATGACTAAATTCCACATGTGTTTTGTGGATTAGGTAGAGATCAAGATAAAATACTGTATAAATCAGCTTTCCCATTGCTAGAACCAAATACCCAGTACCCACAATCTAAAGGAAGAAATGGTTTTTGGCTCATGGTTTCAGAGGATTCAGTCCATAGTCAGTTGGCTCTAAGGCAGAAACATTACGGCAGGGTGCAGCCAAACCGCTTAGTTCATGGCAGCTAGAAAGGAGCAGGGGAACAGCATAAGAGAGGCAAGGGACCAGGGACCAGATATTGTACCCAAGGGTGCATCTCCATGACTCACCTGGCACTCACAGAAGTGTGCTTCACTAATCTCCTGGCTGGCTTCCAAGCCAGTCACATGGACAGTTAAACTTAAGCATCACAAGTACATTATCGGGATTGTTGATATTTGATTATGGACCATATTTTAGCTAGTAGTATTCCATCAATATTATATCCTCTGAATATGATCATGGTGCTGTGGTTATATAGGAGAATGTCCTTGTTTTTAGCAACTACACACCAAAGTATTTATGAGTAAAAGAGGATGGTGTCTGCAACTTTGCTCTCATATGATTCAGAAATAAAAATGAGAAGGCAGGGGGAAGCAGGGAATAAGTATTTTTGTTTGTTTTTCTTTCTATTTTTACAACTTTTCTATAGGTTCGAAACTTTAAAAAAATAAAGTTGACCTTTAGGTACATTGCCATTGCTGCCTTTTAATTCCGGAAGTGTGTCCCTGGCTAGAAGACCTAAGTATCTTTTTCAAGTCTAAGAATGCCTTTGCTTCCCACCAGATTGGTCCAGAGAAAGGTGTGGTACACCTGGCCACTGCAGCGATTCTGAATGCGGTGTGGGACCTCTGGGCGAAGCAAGAGGGAAAGGTAAGAATCCTGCCCATGCCTCCAGGCCACCCAAGGACACACAACTATCTCTGCGAGCAGCACTCTGAAGAGCAAAGACAAGTGTGGTGCAGCTCCCCAAAAGGATATAAGTAGAGGCTTGATTCTTTTCTCCCCTGAGAGATCTTGGCACTACTTAGGAAACTGCAGGAGTAGGTTCAGAAGGCTGGAATGGAAAGGGGGGGACACAAAAGCAAAGGGTCCAGGGCCACAGGCAGGTGGGCAGGCAGTGGGCCACATGTCTGACAGCAAGAATTTGCCACTAGTGAATTCACTAGCAGAATGAAAATGAGTGCTTTGTATCTATGTTTTACAAGTCCTTTTTTCTTCCAGCCTCTGTGGAAGCTCCTTGTGGACATGGTAAGTAGATTCTTTCACATTACAACTGCTTCTAATGAGATGGATTTCATGGGTTATTTGCCTTTTGATAATCAGTAAATATAGTCAAGTGTCTGTTAATCACTGATGATAAAGCAAGCCCCAGCAAAACGCAGTCCTCCCATGGTGAGCTGGGAAGTGACAGAGCTGTGCTCAGAAAGGCAGGGTGGGAGGCGAGCTCAGGCCTCCCCTCTGCACATGACCCGAGATGTGAATTCTCTCAGCCTCCACTGCCTGACAATGTGAAGAGGAGCGTCAGAACCCCTGGGAACCTCACAGAATGAAAGACCCAGTGAAAACGAACTTCATAAACTCAGAGAAGCAAGATGTTACTCTTCAGACATCCATCATCTGGTCACTCTCATGCCCAAAGCACAACCAGATGGATCGTGTGGTTCCAGCAGGGCAGGGACTCGACATCGAATTCCAGAGGCGTGTACTTGGCTCTTTTCTTTGGCCTGTTTGTAGCAGGGATAAGCATCTGGCTGCTGAGCAGGAAAACACTGTGGCTGAGTTAAAAGGGAGCCGAGTTCCGAACCAGGCAGACCCGGCTTTGATTCTGGACTTCACAGCTCACGACCAACCGAGTGGCCTTGGGCTCATTCCTTACAGTGTGGGAGCTGCTGGTCCCCCGGTGTGATGCCTGCTGGTCCACACACAAAGGCTCTGTTGTTACATGCCCCAAAATTCAGGACAAACTACCACACAAAGGCCTGGAGGACTGTTGGGTCAGGAGGCTGTCACATCTGCTCCTGGACACAGCTGAGGGTGGCGGGGATGGTGCCTGGCTTTGAGAGCCACCTCCTGTCCTCTGCACTGAGCCGCTCCAGGATCACCCCCAGCCCCTCAAGGGTCCCTGTAGGTCACCCTGAGGCCAGAGCAGATGCAGAGAGGGAACCCAGGTGTCATCGTTGGCTTCCCTTGTCCTGAGTACTCACACATGCCAGGTCTTCTGGGCAGGAAGCTGTGTTGGTCGGAAAGAACAGGGCAGGGGCAGGGAGCAGAGGGACAGGGCAGGGGCCCTAGGGCTTGTCAGGGGCAGCACTGCGTCTCTGAAGGACTCCACACCGAGGAGTGACAGGCGATTTCTCTCACGGCCCAAGGCCCACATGATCCCTGAAGATCAGTGTGAGGAGCTTTTAGACCCATAATCTGCATACGAATTGATCTGGGCCTTTTCCCTCCTATCCTGCTGCCAGGACCCCAGGATGCTGTTATCCTGCATTGACTTCCGATACATCACTGACGCCCTGACCGAGGAGGACGCCCTGGGTGAGGCAAGCTAGGCGGTGGAACCAGGAGCTTTGGGGCAGTGAGGTGCACCCAGCAGCCATCAGCTCTGCCGGGTAAAGGAGTGGTGACAGTTTGTTTTTTTCTTTTTCCAGAAATACTGCAGAAAGGTCAAGTTGGTAAAAAAGAAAGAGGTAGGTTGTATGGAAATCTTCTGTTTTTGTTGTCAACTTTTGAGTGTCCCTGGCCTCTGGGGTCCAAACTGACCTTCTAGATGCTTTGCACCAAGCAGCTGGACCCTCAGTCAGATGTGTGGGTTTTAGTGAAGAAGCCACCTGGGGTCACCTTGGCTGCAGGCTCATTTCCACCACTGCTCCCAGGAAGCTAGGCTCTAGGGTTGCACTGTGGGACACTCAGAGGGTATCCTGGTCACTGTGACACCGAGGGGCTGGACCAGTGCTGTGTGCATGTGAGAGGCACCCAGCAGAACAGCTGGAGTCTCCATGAGCAGCAGCTTAGCTACAGGCAGTTCTAATTCCAAAGTTCCTGGAAAGCACAAAATGTTGAATGTTGCTGGACCTGGTGGCGCATGCCTATAAACCCAGTACTCAGGAGGCTGAGGCAGGAGGATTGCCTCAAGTTCCAGGCCAGCCTGAACTACATAGTGAGACACTGTTCCATACCCTACCCCCCCCCAAAAAAAAGGTCAACTCTTGTGTTTTCTAGAAGAGCAAATGCTGACACATGGTTACCCTGCCTACACCACGTCGTGCGCCTGGCTTGGGTACTCGGACGACTTGCTGAAGAAGGTGGGCTGGGTACCTGGGCTTTGCAGACAGGTTGAAGGAGGGACAGCAAACTGATTGTCGTCCATGCTCACACTGCTATGATCGTACGTCACTTCTGGCACAGATGCGTGGGTTTCCCCAGCACCACTCAGGTCTCCAGGATTTGGGGACACCAGTGGGCAGGCGTCCTAGAGTTTTACTCAGTTCTGAATGCTGTCTGCCTGGAGTCAGCATCAGACAGTAAGTTAAGGGCTCAGCTCGCAGGGTGGGACACTTCAGATGCCAGCCATGTAAGTCCAGGTTGTCACCTGAGTTTCTGAGCAACTGACTGGAAAATGGCTTCCATCCGCAATCCTGGAGTTTTACCCTTTGCCGGAATGGCTCCCCGAACTCAAGGGAACGTTACTTTCGATACTGGGTTACTGTCAGGACTACAGCTCAGGAGGAGCCACAGGGGGGCATTGGCACCTCCATCCTCTCTCTGGGAGCCAGGTACCTCAACATGTTCACCAGCCCTGGAGCTCTGGAGCCAGTCTTTGTGGGATTTTATGGGGCTTCCTTAAGTAGGCAGGTTGATGACATCGTGAACCACTGAAAATCAACCTTCAGTCTTCTCCCCTCTCCAGAAGCCATTAGCATTCAGCACGGGGCTAATTTATAACTCTCTCTTGTCATATTGTTTTCATGTAGAGTAGAGAGAGAGAAAGAGAGATGGAGTCACACGGGCTGGCTTCTGCTTGATACTCTTACATCCACTAGTTCTCTGGATGCCACAGAAAGTGCTAGGTTTAAAACCAGGGACACATTATGGGCCGGGGATGTAGCTCAGTGGCACTGCACCTGCCTCTAAAGCACAAGGTCCTGAGTTTGATCCCCAGTACCGAAAATAAATAATAAATAAACAAATAAAATAAAATAAAATCAGGGACACAGCTGGGCATGGTGGCACACACCTGTAATTCCAGCACTTGGGAGGCTGAGGCAGGAGGATTGCTGTGAGTTTGAGGCCAGCCTGGGCTACATAGTGAGTTCAAGGCTAGCCTGAACTACATAGTGAGACCCTGTCTCAGAAAGACAAACAACCCCCCCCAAAACAGGGACACTCATGTTACATACTCCTTCCAGGAATGTTGTGACAGTGAAAGAAATGGTTCCCATGGAGATGAGGGAGAAAGCTACCCTGTAAGGAGAAGGAACGATGCTCTGTTGGCCGAGCTGTTTCTTCCCTTGATTTCAACAACACATGGCTGTTTCTCTGGTTTATGTTATGGCCATAATGTTAGTGGAACCCAGATCAGACACACCTGAGTCCCGCCCAGCCAGGGGAGTGGTGTGCTACGTATACCATGAACGCAGTGACGGTAGCTCTTTCCCCACAGCTCTGCACGGCAGCCCTGAAGGATGGCTGGACCAGGTAGGTGATTGTGTGATGACTTGACCTTCCCGCTTAGCAGCACAAGGATGGGAGCCAGGGATTAAATGACATCAAAAAGGCCAGAAGCAGCCTGGCACATGGGTATAATGAGGTGTCATCAAAACTACAGGGAGTGCCGCTGCCCAGGGCCATTCAACAGCACAGCAGGGTCATAAAAAATGTTACAGTGTGTCCTTATCCGGCATATTCACTGGATCTGGCACCGTGTGGCTTCTGGCTCTTCCCCAAAGTCACATGACCATGAAAGGGAAACGTTTTGAATTGATTCTGGATACTGAGGCAAGCATGAGAGTGCAACTAAAGACACTGACAAGAAGTCTTCCAGAATGGCTTCAGAAAATGGCAAGAATGATGGGATAAGTGTGCTCAAGGCGAATGGGAGTATTTTTGAGGATTCAAAGCAATGTGTCATTTACTGTAATAATTTTTTAATGTAAATATTCACCATATTTTTTTTATCATACCTCCTATGTGATTGATACTGAGTGTGCAGGGCCGAGGGCCTGGAGAGCTAGTAAGCAGAAACTCGAACCCAGCAGTGGAGGCCCCTCCTCCACGTGACAGTGCCCACACTCAGGCCAGTGACACTGCTGAGGGCAGAGTCACAGGGAGCATGTATAGCAGCCACGTCTCAGAGCACGGTTGGACGTGAAGCCAGATGGGCAGCTCCCTGCCACAGGCATGTATGGTGGGAGGAGACTTCAGCAGGGGCCTCAGCTGCCCTCTGCTCGCCTTCGTACTCAACCAGGTCCTTTCTGCTGCTGGCCTTGGGCCCCTGCACCTGGGGGATGGACTACCCTGTGGCCTTCCTCCCTCTGGGCTCACTTAAGACAGGCCCTCTGTGCGCCAGGCTGTAAGGTAGAGATGGTTTATAAACGAGTCTCTTCATTCAGGGTGCACCAGGGGACTCCACATACCCTGTCAGCACCACCATGCTCTTCAGCTCTGCCTCTGGCCTCTTTGTTGTTAATTCATTTCCGTGATACAGCAAAGGCCCAGTTCACTTTACTAAGACCTCTGTCCTGGCGCCTTGCCTGCAGGCCGCAGTGACTGAGAGGCACTATCCTGACAGAGTACAGCAGTGCTGTCAGCACATTATGGGCAGGGGACTTGGCTAACATCATTGGGAAAGAGCCAGAGTTTACTGGAAAATGTGGTCTGTGAGTTATTGACAGAGACAGTCACTTCTGCAGAAAATTCAGGTGTTTCTGCCCAGTCCAAGGACAGAGGTACACTAGCCTACCAAATATGTTTCTAGGTTCAAAGTGAAGGTGGGGGCTGACCTCGAGGATGACATGCGCAGATGCCGCCTCATCAGAGACATGATCGGACCTGAGAAGACTCTGGTAACTGTCTTCTCACACCACTGGCAACCTGGCAGGAAGACTTTATCCAGGGCCAAAGTACAACTCATTTCAGGGAGGATCTTAAAAACTTTAGGAGTTTTAAAAGTTATTGTCAGGTGAAGTATGGCTCTGTGGTCTTGCAGTAGGTGAATGTATTTTTATTTTTATTTATTTATTTTTGGTACCAGGGATCCAACTTAGGACCTTGTGCTTTCGAGGCAGGTGCTGGAACCACTGAGCTAAATCCCCAGCCCTAGGTGAATGTGTTTTTTTAAAAAAAAACACACAAACCCATGGGGTTTAATACTTTTTAGTTTTTTAATTCTGCAGAACTAGTTAAATAAGATCAGGGTGGGGCTTGGGTCCTTCCTTGCTCACTTATTTGCTGACCAACAGCAAACAGGTCTCCCATTGGTGCCCTGGTGTGTCAATCATTAATCTCTGTAGGTTGCTCATCAGGTAGGCGGGGTTCAGGGAGACACTGTTGAAGAAGTATTGAAACTGTGGCTGTGATAAATGTAAAGATCAGCTGTTTTTGTCCCTGACCCAGTATTTTTGTGAAATGGTTCTCATTAAGTGTAAAATATTTTCGTAAAAGAAAGCTGCAAGTGGGGCATGGTGGTGCACACCTGTAATCCCAACACCTTGGGAGGTTGAAGCAGGAAGATTGCAAATTCAAGTCCAACCTGGGCAGTTTAGCCACTTAGCAAGACCTTGTTTCAAAATTTAAAAAAATAAAAAGGGCTGAGGATGTAGCTCCATGCCAACACCCTGGGTTCAATCTCCAGTACTGAAAAACAAAAAAGTTGCAGATGTATTTATGAAGTTTAAGAGGCTCCTTCACAAGTTAAAATTCCAGTTTGGAGTCTTGATGTAGGACCCGAAGGCCCATTATCTGTACGTGAGTTAATGCTCCTCTTGTCTCATGAGGTCATTCTCTTCCAAATGACTGATGATAAAACTTTTTCCTGAGTGCCCCATCCTGTGGTTCCAAGAGTCCTGGGAGGGAGCTCTTACCACTTAGCACCTTCCATAGCTACTACTTTCCTTGTCTCGCTCTCAGGCATTGTGATGTCAGTGATAGAGGGGTGGAAGGGCCCCTCTCAGGCTCTGCACACCCAGCAGGTTTTGGGCCGGCTGGCAGCAGGTGGAGAGGCAGGGCCTCAGAACTCAAGACCTGGACTCAACTCTCCACTGGCCTGACTTACTGTTCTTGATCAAGTTCCTTCTCTGAGTGTCATTTTTTTATTTGCAAAATGGACAAGTATGGCCTTCCTCATGGAGTTCTTATAAGCATTAAATGGAACAAAACCCATCCAGCACCTATGGGAGTGGGGGCTTCATTAATGGTAGCTGTTTGTTAATTAATGTGCCAGATGCATGGTGGGCCACAGTCAACACATGGCTGTTGAACAAACTCACCATTTACTACATGATTCAGTATGTGATAAAATGGTCCCAACAAATAGCTAATGCTTCAACACACGTGTGTCCGGGCAGCCACTTCTGTTAGGGCTGTGGGCTGGGTGTCAGCAGTGGGCCACCCTCACCGGGAAGGACGCTCCCTGCAGATGATGGATGCCAACCAGCGCTGGGACGTGCCCGAGGCGGTGGAATGGATGTCCAAGCTGGCCGAGTTCAAGCCATTGTGGATCGAGGAGCCCACGTCTCCCGATGACATCCTGGGGCATGCTGCCATTTCCAAGGTAGGAAGACTGCCACTGCCTCTGCTGTCCAGGCCATTGACTTTCATGTTTAATTTTCCAGCGTGGTCACAACAGACCGTAACATTTCTTCACTTGCTCCCTTTCACATTTCCTAAAGGAGGCAGCTGAAGTAATTGTAATGTGCAACAGGTGAGGGCTGCAGACCCGACATCCTCTCTGTACCACTTCCGCCTGTTGTGGTTGGAGGGAGTCACCAAAAGTTCCAAGGCTGCTAAAATCTAGAGTTTGATAGACATGGTTCCCATGCTTTTAAGTGTAGAAATGTGACTGCTGTTTGAATATAGATGGTCTCTGACTCACAATAGTTCAACATAGAATTTTTCTACTTTATGATGGTACAATGGTGATATGCATTCAGTAGAAAACATACTTCATATTTTGAATGTGGCTTTTGTTTTGTTTTGTTTTGTTTTGTTGGTACTGGGGATCAAACTCAGGACCTTACACTTGCGAGGCAGGCACTGGAACCACTGAGCTAAATCCTGGGCCATGAATGTGTCTTTTATCAGGACATAACTCCTCTATAAGTTGAGGTGCAACTGTACTTAATCATCCAGAATGAAACAAGTGTAGATTCCTCCAGATGACTAGAACTAAGGCTAACTCTTCCCTCCCTTTTGGGTTCAGGAAGAACTTGACATGTTGGAACACCTGAGAAACCTCTGGCTAGGCAGGGGGCCCTTCTATGGCTGTTTTACAGCCCTGATCTACAAAGCCATGTCAAGTGGTTAATTTGTAGTTTGTACAAGACCGTAACTCCTAGGCTTTTGATCCTCAGATGAAAGCAAGCTCTGTAAGAAGTCATGTTAGCCAAAGGCTGCCGGATGAGGGTGCGGTCAGGGAAGGGACTGGGTATGGGATTCACGGATGTCCCGCTATGGCCATCCCAAGTTCAGATACACCTACTTCTGGCCACAGAGACATTGTCCTCAGCCTTGTTACTCCCTGAGCTTGGGTCCAGCCACCCTGTCTCGTCTAAGAACCTTTTTCCCACTAGGGTGTGAGGTTAGAGGCTCAAAGGTCCTTTGTTCGCTGGCTCTCTCAGCAGATCAACATCAGACCGACCTTAGGTCGGACACGCTCCGGAAGCCTATGCTTCAGGAACGTCCTCCTCACCCCACTTGCAGCTTCTCTGGAGAGGAAAAACAGACACATTAAACAGAGATGGGCGGGGACATGAACCGGGCCACTGAGTGCTGAGTACAGAGAAGAAAGCTCCTGGGGGGGGGGGGGTTGTGGGCAGGGACTGGGAGGTGGCCTCATGGCCTGGGGTGGGGACCTGAGCTGACTGTAAAGAACACTGGGCTGCAGGTGAGGGACATGTGCTGGAGCCACGGGGCAACCACAGCCACCTTTATTCAAACAGAAGCCGAGCCGGGGGTGGTGGTGATCCCAGCACTCTGGAGGCTGAGGAAGGAGGATCACCTGGAATTTGAGGCCAGCTGGGGCTAGAGAGTTCAAGGCCAGCCTGCACTACATAGAAGATCCTGTCTCAAAAAGAGAGAGAGAGAGAAGCCAGGTGTGGTGGTGCACGCCTGTAATCCCAGCACTCGGGAGGATGAGGCAGGAGGATTGTGGTGAGTTTGAGGCCAGCCTGGACTACATAGTGAGACCCCATCTCAAAAAAAAAAAGAAAAGAAAAGAAAGAAGAAAAAAAGAGAGAGAGAGAGAGAGAGAGAGAGAGAGAGAGAGACAAAAGCCAAACCTTCCAAAGAATTGTTGAAGGTAGGTGTCTGGGTGAGAGGTTGAGGTCAGCGAGGCTCCTCCCCTGAGCGTGCGTGGCCTTGCTCCTCAGGGTTCCTGGGGTCGCAGCACCTTGCTCTCGCCTCTCCAGGCTCGCAGCTGACTGCCACCCACCTGGGGAGTCAGGGGAGGCTCTGAGGAAGGGACAGATGAGCCAAGGCACCACAACTGCAGGCACAGCGCAGCGCAGGGCACAGAGGAGGCACCACAGGGGCTCAGAGGGCGCTGCCCGAAGGAGGTGGCCGCTGCAGGTCTCTGACTGGGAGGACGGTGGCGATGCCATTGGCCGTGCATTGAAACAGGGCCTGCAGGGCAGAGGAAACTGAGGCAGGGGTGGGGTGGGGAGGCTGCTGCTGAAACCTGGGGAGGTGAAGGGAGAGCAGCTGGGAGAGGGCCGATGCAGGGACTACGTCCAGGTCGAAACTCGGTACCCAGTCAGTGCTGGAAACGCTGCCTTAAAATGGCTTTCTCTCCGCTCCCCTCCTCATTTGCTCTCTCCTTTTTCTCTTCTGAGACAAAGAACCAAATGTCCTTAAATTAGAAATTTCAGAAAGCATAAAATGCTAGCGTGAGAAGGTGTGTTTGAGACCATCTGCTGAAACAGACTGAAAGCCCGCCTGGTGCCGCGCCCACATGCCCCACGAGAGGTGGGACACGGATTTGAGTCAGGGGCACCTGCGCCCTCAGTGATTTCACTGAGAAGCTGGCATAAGTGATCCAGAAGTCTCCTCAGGCTCTGGGATCAGCCTCAGGGACAAATCACAGCTGTGTACTTCCAGCTCTGTGACAGGGATGCTCCTGTTCCCTCGTCTGTAAAACAAGGACACTGATGGCTCCTCTCCTGCCAGGTGTGACTGGGCATCACTCACACGAGTGTTTTGCACAGCACCTGACAGGCAGCGAGGGCTCCGAATCTGTCCCTGAGAAATGGAAGGAAAACCAGGCAGGAACCAAAGATGTCTGAGGCGGACAACTGTGGGGTCCCTGCCAGTGGAGGCTGAGTGGGGCAGCCTGGAGCCCAGGTGGCAGGTGAGGGACATGGCTTTCCGGGGCCAGGCTAGAGGACCAAGTCCAGGTGGAGGTGACAGCACCTCACCCAGTCTGTCGCCCACAATGTGGCAAGGGAGGAGGTTCTAGAATAACCACTGAAGGGGCCGTCAGGGATGCACGGGCATCCTTCTGCCTGCCTTTGACTGTCACGTGGCTCAGCAGCAGGGATTTTCCTTCTGGAGCAAAATGCATCTTTAATCCTGAGGAGCTGCAGTTTAAAACCTAGGAAAATAACAGCAGGCTGCCTTCTCTCCTAGGCACTGGTCCCTTTAGGAATTGGTGTGGCCACAGGAGAACAGGTGAGTGACGTGTCTCGATGCCACCACACACCCACCACTGACGGACACAGTTGTGTTAGGCTCTGTATCCGGTTCCATTTTGGGCCAGGACATTTTTACCGTCTTAGAACTCAGTAGTCCATCAGTGTGAAGTCAGTCAAAAGTTGGTGGCTTTTTCTATAATTTATACAGTTCAGGTGATTTTCTCAAAACATCTAATCAAGATCAACAAGGCAGCAATGTAAAGGTGTTGCAAGGTTGCACAGTGGCGTAAGAAAGCCAGCTTCTGAACTGGGTCAGCAGGATGGTGTTTGCTCCCTGTGCTTGTAAACCAAGCACCAGTGCCTGCCAAGCCCCACTGCAGTCAGCCCGAGAACAGATTCTGTTTTCCCAGCAAAAGGAACAATACCACTCAGCTGTGGTTCTGTTTTGTCATCATGCCACCCGCTCATCGCTGTCACCATACCTCATCTCAATGCTTGGCTTCACCTCCCACTTGAGGCTGTACAAGTTACTCCTTAATGCGTCCTGAGCTGGTGTGATCTGTCTCACGGTCACATCCGCAGATCTGGAAGGAAGGGAGCGCCAGGCCCCTGCCTGCACTGCCAGGGTGCCTCCTGCCCAGTGAGAACAAAAGAGAATCACAGCCTGGGTTCCCCAGGGCCACCCATGGGTGACAGCTGGCGTGGAATCACCGCACGGCCAGGCTTAGGGATCCCGAAGGCCAGTGCTGACTCTTCTATTGGTGTCATTTTTAATTCTATTTCCAGTGTCACAATAGAGTGGTATTTAAGCAACTCCTACAGGTGAACGCCCTGCAGTTTCTCCAGATTGACAGCTGCAGACTGGGAAGTGTCAATGAAAACCTCTCAGTGTTACTGATGGCCAAGAAGTTTGGAAGTAAGGGCCTGCCTGGGGTCCCCCACTTCCTGTGGTCTTTGCAACTCAAGTCTCTACTTTGCCATGCTGATTTTTTCTCTGTTTGCCCCCATCAAGGAATCTTTAATGATTTTCATGATGGGACTCTATTCCTAAATATTAATGACTTAATCACCTGTGGGCACTGACAGAAACCACAGGGCTCTCTTCCCCACCTCTTTTGCACGCTTTTGGCATTGAGGAGAAATGTTTTCCCTCCAGCTCCTGTGTGCCCCCACGCCGGCGGAGTTGGCCTGTGTGAGCTAGTGCAGCACTTGATCATATTTGACTACATATCAGTCTCCGCAAGCCTTAACAACAGGTCAGTCTGTCTACCTCGAGCACTCCTTCCCTCAGGCCGGGCCAGCTCTCTGAGCGTCCTGCTTTCACCATCAGACACCCAGGACACTGCGCACTGTTGCAAGGGCCTACATGGCTCTAAGAGTCGGCTCCACACTGAACAGCGTGACGCATCCACTTTGTCGTATAAACATGCTGCTTTTGCTGATTTCTCCACACAGGCAGTAAGAACAGGGACCCACTAGAGAAGTCACTACTGAGGGTAGATTCACACCCAGAACTCCAAATGGCTCTATTTTATGCCTTCCTGAAGCCCTGGTTTCTCACATGTACATTTTCCATTGCATCTCCTCTTCCTGATACCACCCAATACATCTTTATTTAATAGTTTCATCTTCTCAGCATCCCAGGGAACTTTACATTGGGACAGTCTTCCTTCCAGTCATCTGCATGTATGGCTTTGTTTATTATGTTTGCTTTCTTCTTTTTGTTTTGTTTTTGGAGACACGGTCATGCTAGGTAGTGCAGGCTGGTCTCAAACTCAGTGGTCCTCCTGCCTCAGCTTCCCGAGTGCTAGGATTACAGGCGTCCACTACCACATCCAGCTTATTATGCCTTCTCAGCTCCTGGAATTAAGTGTTGCAGAAAGCTCACTACAGGTGTACAGCAAGAGCCAGGCATGCAGGGGAAAGGCAGATACCAGATTCAGGCCCAAGAGAGATGGGCTCTGTTAGGCACGGAAAGGGCATAGTTGTAATGGTTTCTTCTTCAGCTGGTAGTGAGGAGACAGGTGCTGTCTGGATGATGTTATGCTAATAAATTAAAGAATGTTAGATTGCAAAGAAGGAAACCTGGGCCCCTCAGACCTGGAGCTGACATGGGTTGATCTCATCTAAGTCTAAACCTGTCTGTACATCTGGAAGATGAAGGTTGGGATTAGATCATTGTTCTTCCCTCCCAGTGAATTTGCAGACTCGAGTGAAGAACCATAGATCATTGTGCTCTTGCCCCTCAGTTCCTCCTTCAGGATCACAGGAGATTCTGACCAACTGTGAAAAGCTCCACAGGTTTTGAGGGGGAGAGGGGGTCACTCCTGCACTCAGTGCACACTGTCCCTGGTGCAGCACCCCACGCGCTAGTGCCTCAGTGGGACTTGGTGCTCCAAGGCCTCCCCGCAGGTAAAACCACCACCAGACGCTACCCCACGTGCTGTCACACGTCAGCCCCTTGCTCTGTCATCCTGTGTGGACACATTTCCTGCTCTTCTGTCCTCTCCTCTGCAGCTGGGTCTTCTGCACCGTTCTTCAGACACCCCAGTCAGTGGCTCAGTGGCTGTGCCCAAGGAAACCACGCGACTCACTCTCATCAGCTTCTTTGTGCAACCCCAGCACCAGGGCAGCACATGGCCTGCCTGTCTCTGTACCTGGAGGGACCCCATGGGGTGATTCATTCTCTTTGTCTGACTTTGGGCCAGGCACCTGGGTGACTCATTCTCCAGAGTCTGAATTGACGCCTCTGGGGCATCACAAGACCTTGAGCTGCAAGGGACCTCGTGGTTCACTGTGCCTCAGTCCCACACTGCTCTTCTGGGTGCATAGCACCCGAGGCAGAGGTCGAGGGCTTCTCATAGAAACGTGCGGAATCCCATGTGCTGCTCCCCTTGCGTTAGTGGCTAGCAGCTCACAGATCACCTCCCTTCGGGTGCTGTTGCCTCAGTCTCGTTCCTCCCCCTAGGATGTGTGAATACGTGGATCATCTGCACGAACATTTCAAGTATCCCGTGCAAATCAAGCAGGCTTCCTACATGCCTCCCAAGGTGAGCCAGGCCGGGATGCCTCACAGGCATGCTTGACCCTTTTAAATAATCAGGAATACACACATGGTTTTGTTCCAGGTGGTCATCAGCACTGCCCAATTGATTCTTTTTGCTAGGATGCGGGCTACTCGACAGAAATGAAAGAGGACTCTGTAAGGAAACACCAGTATCCAGATGGCGAAGTCTGGAAGAAACTCCTTGCTGCTCAAGAAAATTAAGCATTCAGCCCTATTTCCTCTTCTTCTTACATAGTGCTACCTACTACCTTTTCTTCTTTAAAATTTCCTGGTTAGTTTTATGGAAATAGAAGGAAAAAAATTGCATCCTACCAATCAAGTTCAGCTGAATGTCCTATTAACCTCAGGAATCAGTTTCATCATCGATTCTTTTAACAAATCGATGCATACTCTAACCCTTAAACAAACTTAGATTCACCTAGCCTGAAGTCCAGGAAGATGTTCTTAACAAAATTTCTACCAAGAGGGCCGGGGATTTAGCTCAGTGGTGCCACCGCTTGCAAGGCAGGGTCCTCCTGAGTTTGATCCCCAGTACCAAAAAAAAAAAATTTCTACCAAGGGCTTGTACCAGGACATTAAATTACTTGGAAAATCAGCAACATGTCGCACAATTTGTTAGAACAACTCCATGTTCTGTTTAATGCTTCTCATAAATTAGCAGAATAAAAATAGTTCTGGAGCACAGCGGGGAGCTGGTATTTGCAACAAAGGGAAAAAAGCCACCGATGAGCCCTGAAGTGGTTTAGCATCCCTTTTCTTAACCGGTCTAAGCCTGTTAGAGAAGTCACACCACACTGGAACTGATGGTATTTATAACCCTGAAAAACCTCTACCTAAATGCTCATTATATTTAAAGATAAAATGCAGCTAGAAGGAGATGCGTGGCGGAAAAACAGGGTGAAATACTGCACAGTGAGCACTTCTAATACATACAACAGCACTCTCCACAGCAGCTAAACAGGGACGCAGTGTGTCACTCGGGTGACCGTGCTAGGCAGGAGCTGAGCAAATAAACGGCAACAGAGGAAGAAACACGGATAAATGCAAACCAAGGCTTTATTACAGGAATATACACAACAAATGTAACTGCAAATGTTCATGAGCAAACTATACATTCTGACTGATGGTGTTATTTGAGATTTCAGGGAAGAGCTTATGTAATTAAATTCACCTTCATTATGTACAACTGAAATGCATACTTGGTTTTGCTAAGAATATAGGAACTTTCACTGTTGTTACTTTATTCATAATCTTAGCATTTTCGTGCACTTTTATTACTAAAGTTAAGCTCTTGTGTTACTAAAAAACCAGTACCTTATATCTGCCAGTGACACTATCTTCAAAAGTTAACAAATAATAACTGATAGGTCACTGACAGTTTTTGACCTACTTCCTTTTTTGCTTTACAAACAAAAATACCGAGACTCAAGTTCTAAACAGGGACACTTCCTTCCTTCCTTCCTTCGAACAGCACCGCTGAAAGCACTCTACACAGCCATTTCCATCTTAATGGCAGGATGTGGATTGTACCCTTCCAGCTGAAAGTCTTCAGCTGTGAAGTTGTCGATGGTCTCAACTGTTCGAAGGATTTTGAGCTTTGGGAAAGGTCTTGGTTCTCGCTGAAGCTGAAGACAAAATCAGACCATTATTCTGCCGCGTCTGTGTAACCTGCTTTAATTCTGTCCCTTCATGACACAAGCACAATTTTATGAACCAAGGAGAACCCTTCCCCTGGTTACCCACCACTCCTGGGACATAACCACCTGGTCTCCCTGCTCAGGTAAGAGTGAAGGGTGTTTGTGACATTACATGCCATCAGGGGCCTGGTGGCTCATCAGACCCAAGTTCTTTTTTTCAAGACAGGGTCTCACTATGTAGCTTAGGCTGACTTCAAACTTGTGGCAGTTCTCCCGCCTCAGCCTCCCAAGTGCCAGGATTACAGGTGTGCACCACTATGCCCAGCTTTTTTTTTTGACACTGCTTGCTCTGTAGTCCATGCCCATTTAGAACTCACAATCTTCCTGCTTCAGCCTCCCAAGTGCTAGGATTACAGGCGTGAACCACACTACACCTGGGTCAGGCTTACATTCTTGAAGTCCTTTTTTTTGGTACCAGGAATTGAACTCAGAACTCTGCACTTGCCAGGCAGGCATGGCACTGCTGAGCTACATCCCCAGCTCAGGCTTACATTCTTATACAGTAACTCCTGGCAGATCTATTAAAGACCAGGACATAGTCTATTTTTCCTTGCCTTTTTTTTTTGAGACAGGGTCTCACTAAGCTCAGGCTGGCCTCGAACGAGCAGTGATCCTCCTGCCTCAGCGCCCCCAGTGCTAGGATTACAGGTGCACACCACACCCAGCTTCCTTTTCTGTACGTAACTCACAACAGCATTACAGTATGGTTTCCTAAATTCTATAATCCCTATCCCAACTGTCCCTGGTAAAGGAAAACAAAGGATGAGTGCTGTTAATGAGTCCCAGAAAGGGATGTGCGCCAGGATTCAGGAATGAGCACATGACACCAGCAAGGATGCGGACACGGGTCAGACCCAGCACAGTGTCCAACACACAGGAAGGGACAGGCAGAGCCACAGCCCAACAAGCTGGTAGCCGGTCTACTTAAGAGAGGCCAAGCTCTCAAAAGGTGTCACTCACAGGTCTGATCTGGCAGGGGCCCAAAGGTTTTTGGTTCTTCCTTTTTTCCCTTGGGGCTTATGAAGCACAGCTGCTCATATTTTTCCTGCCATTTCAAATCATCTGGTATTGAAAGGATTCAGACAGACTTAAGTATTCTATTAGCATAAAATCTAAGGGAAAATATTTGCATTTCATTTCTCCTTCAAGTAAAAATATCAGGGAAGGTCTCAAATCCCCTGGCCTGAACATGCCCTTCCTTTGTGGTACTGGTGCTTAGTCCCTTACAGCACCTGTCATGTGAAATGCCTGTGGCTACAGAGGCAGGTGTTGGCCTCATGCCTGCCCCCTTTCCCTATACGGAAGCCCTGCAGCCGGAGAATCCTCTGGAACTCAGGCGCATCACCACAGAGTGACTGTGACCTAAGGGATGCTGCCCAAATCAACCTTTTAACTAGCAGAAGGTACCACGCCCAAAAAAGGAGAACGGATCTAATCCTTACCTGAGTTTTCAGTGGCTCAATGTGATTCAGGTAAATATGTGCATCTCCCAAAGTATGTACAAAGTCACCTGGCTAAATAAATGGTATGGGAGATGAATGATGTATTAGTTTCAATCCACCCCCCCAACCCCTTTGGTACCAGGGATCCAACTTGGGTCCTTGCGCTTGCGCGGCAGGCGGCGAAACCACTGAGCTAAATCCCTGGCCCCATCCCTCCCTTTTTTGACACAGGGTCTCGCTATGCAATTTTTTTTCCCCTGGTACCAGGAATGAAACTCAGGACCTTGTGCTTGCCAGGCAGGGGCAGCACAAGCTGAGCTAAATCCTCCACCCCCATTACTATGTAGTCCAGCCTGGCATTGAACTCAGAGATCCTCCTGCCTCTGCCTCCCAGGTGCCAGGATTATAGGTGTGCACCACCACAGCCAGCTTTAGTCTCAATTCCTTTAAAGCACATCATATAGTGTATGAAAACACTACAAGACTTTTCAAGAGAATGATTTAACCAGTGTAGCATTTGAGAAAAGTTAACTAAGACTGGAAGGGCCCAAGGCATGAGGTGGCCACAGCCACCCTCTCTGCTCCGGGCGCAGCCCACCTGCAGGCCAGTGACGTGGGCGACCATGTAGGTGAGCAGGGCGTAGCTGGCAATGTTGAAGGGCACGCCCAGGCCCATGTCCCCGGAGCGCTGGTACAGCTGGCAGGACAGCTCTCCGTTCACCACGTAGAACTGGCAGAGGGCATGGCAGGGAGGCAGCGCCATCAGAGGGAGGTCTGAGGAAGCACGGAGGAGGAGGTGGGGTGTGAGGAAACACAGCTATGAGCAAGGCCAACAGGAGACAGAGGCCACTCGCAAGGCAGAACCTCGAAAGGCGCCAGCTGCAGCGATGCCCACGACCCACATCCTGCATGAGGCCAGACTGCTCCCCCCTTGCAGCAGAGCCCCAGAACTGATGGGGACCTGTCTAGGCCTTCAGCCTGAGACTTCTATGACGTACAGGGACAGAGCGATGCTCCTCTACCTGAGCTGGAATCAAGGACTTGTTACCTCTGTGGCACCAAACAGAGGAATTGTTTCATTCACAGAAACTGGCATCCCAGGTGCACTCCATGATAAAATCTCTATTACAGAGGCAAATTCCACACTCTGGGTACCTAGTACCCCTGGAAAGGTTTCATTTCTACAACACAGCTGTTAAGAATGAGCCAGGCACGGTGGTCCACGTCTGTAAACCCAGCACTGAGGGAGACTAAGACAGGAAGACCCCCAGTTCAAGCCCAGCATAGACAACTTAGCAACATCTGCCTTGGTGTGAAAAATGAGAAGAACTGAGGATGTAGCTCGGGGTAGCGACCCCTTGGCTTTGATCTCAGTGCCACCAAAAAAGAAAGAAAAGGAATGTCAATAATAAACAGAGATGCTGAAACTTCCTCTGCCCACATTAAAAATGTTAAATCTTTTTCTGAGACAAGATCTCACTAAGTATCCCGGGCTGGCTTCAAAGTCACAGTGATCCTCCTGCCTCAGCCTTGCAAGTGCTGGGATTACAGAAGTGCACCACCATGCCTGGCTTAAAATGTTAATCTCATGGGCATGTATTTTCCTAGGCAATTTAATGAGTATAGATGCACACACTGGGATCACCTGGGTCCAACCCAAAGTCTGAAGGTGAAAGAGCACCCAAGTGTGACTGAGGTGGGGCACACTCTGAGCTGGCTTCCCCGGGGTGCCCCCTCTGTGCTAGCCATGTGGAGGAGCCACGTCCCACCTTTTGGGTTCCAGGCGCACATGATGATTCTTCTGTCATCAGGGTTGGTTTTGATGGTGTCAATCACTTTCTGCAGCTGGTCCACTCCCTGACCCGAGTAATCTGCAGGGGTGCCGGAGAGGACAGGTACACACATGAAGCAGCACCTCGTGAGAAGGTCCCGGGCCACTGTGGCTGCGCCACAGCGCGCTCTGCAGTGCTCAGACCTCAGGGGCCGGAGTGCAAGGCCCCACTTGAGGCCCCGGGTCTGTGGGCTGGTGCCAGTTCCGTGAACATGTCTCACTCAGTCCCTTTCTCCTCCAGCCTCCCCCTACTGCCAACTACTGTGGCTCGGACGGGGTTGGAATGTGTCTCCAAGGGCTCTGGGTTCGATTTCACCGTGTATTAAAGAGGAGCTTGAGGGCCGGGGATGTAGCTCAGTGGTGCCACTGCCTGTCTTACAGGCGGAAGGTCCCGAGTTCGATCCCCGGTACCAAAAAAGAGGAGCTTGATCCAACTCTGGTGCGCTCAGATGGGGCCTTGGGAGGTGACGTGGATGACGTCATGAGGGTGGAGTTCCCACAGTGGAGTTCCATGGTGGCTTTAAGGAGAAGAGGGACCGGAAGAGATGTGTTTGGGTGCTTCCCGTCCCTTACTGCCATGTGACACCGGGTCACCTCAGGGCTGTGCTGCTGTGCTAGCAGCATGGCCCTCACCTTAAAGCTCCAGAGCTGGGAGCTAAATAAACCTCTTTTCTTTCTAAAGTGATCCCTTTCCAGGTATATGGCTGTCACGAGAAACAAGCTAATCCACTCCAGTCTCAGCAGTCTTACTTGGGACTCCCTCTCTACACTCATCCTCCATGGTTGTCACTGACACGGTCTAGCTTAGCCTTGTTCCACACAGGACGTCCTGGGTCCTACACAAAATTGGATTCCTGGGCTGGGGATGTAGCTCAGCAGTGCAGCACCTGCCTGGCAAGCGTGAGGCCCTGAGTTCGATTCCCAGTACCAAAAAGAAAAGCAGAATTAGGATTCCTTCCACAGTCCTGGTTACAGTGGGCTGTGGGTTCCTTCCTCACAGCTCGGCACCCTCCTACCCTAACCCCCACCTAAAACTGCATCCCAGCGAGCAGAGAAACACAACACACCACACAAGTCAACAATGACACCACCGCCTTCCTCTGGGCCTGGGGCATGAACTTCTGACACCTGGGCTGCCTGGTGAGCCGGGACAGGAAGCTGAGAAGCTCTTTGCAGTGAGGGGCGGGCTTCATGCTCTCCCCAGGTTGGAGTCAGGCAATGCTCCAGCCCCAGTGCTCCAGCCTGGCAATTCTCACATTTTAGGGGCAAAGTCCTCTCTCAATCACAGCGCCAGAAAAGGAAACAAAGATTTTTTAGAAGAATCGTGGTGCACGAATATCCTACACCTCGATGGTAGTGCTGGTTCCACGAATCTACACCTGTGCTAGAAATCGCACTCGAACTAACAAGTGTGCTACAACAGGCGAATCTGATGAGCACTGGAGAACGCACCGACAGAGATGGATGCCACAGTGCTAGAAATCGCACTCGCACTAACAAGTGTGCTACAACAGGCGAATCTGATGAGCACTGGAGAACGCACCGACAGAGATGGTTGCCACACCTCGGGCAGGTCTTCCTCATAGGGAAACAGGGAAGGAGAACTTTCCTTTTGGGGGGCAACTTCTATGAATGTGTAATTATTCCAAAATAACAAAATTTTCTTCCAGGGCTGGGGATGGAACCCAGGGTCTTGTGCATGCTAGGCTAGCAATTCACCACTGGGCTGGTCCCTGGACATTTAAAAACAAAGACGTTGAACTCCCCTACTGGAGTCCAACAGCTAGCATTCGGACAGCTCTAGAGTAAGGCCATAATTTTCCCCTTAAGCAACAAGAAATAATTGACTGCTAGGCAGGAAGCAAGGCACCGAGGGCCAGGGGAGCAGCCACGTCCTCAGGAAGAGGCTCCGGGACGACAAGGGCAGACAAGACGACCGACAGACACTTACCACAGGCTGGTCCATCCTGCTGGGTTCTGCGGGGGTGGGAGTGAACCCAGGGCTTTAGCACTAAGCCACAGGCACAGCCCTTTCTTATTTTGAATCGGGGTCTCTCTAAGCTGTTTCCCAGGCTGGGCCTGAACTGGTGATCTTCCTGCCTCAGCCTCCTAGAGTGATAGGATTACAGGCATGCACCACCATGCGTGACTTACACTGCATTGTTTTTACTGATAAAGTATACATAACATTAAATGTACTACTATAACCATTTTTAAGTATGCAGTTCAGCAGCATTAATTGCACACTGATATTGTGCAACCATCACACTATCCATTTCCTGGAATTTTCATCATCCCGAACTAAAACTGTATACCCGCTAAACCTGAATTCCCCATTCCCTCTTCCCCTCAGCCTCTGGCAACCCCCATTCTACTTTCTGCCACTACAAATTTGCCCATTCCTGGTCTACACAGCATTTTAAATCTTTTTTACTCTGGGAGGCTGAGGCAGGAGGATCCCAAGTTCTAGTCCAGCCTAGACATCTTAGCAAGACCCTGTCTCAAAATAAAAAAATAAAAAAGGGTTGGAGGTGCAAAGGCCCTAGGTTCAATCTCTAGTACTGGGAGGGGAGCTGCCAACGTTAAAAAGATCTCATGACTGCACATCAGTGCAATCTTAGGCTTTGACTAAAGGGATTCAGACAGCACCAGGCCCGATACCCCCAGTGGGGTGGGACCAGAGCTGCAACACTGTCCCCTTTAGAGGAGACACAATGTCAGGTTGCTGGTCCCTGCCTAGCCACCAGACTGTTACTTCCCGCACACGCACCCTGAGGTGGCATCTGCTTAAGGACAGGTTAGACAAGAGCCAAAGGCCAGGGGCTGGGCTCTGGTACCAAGGTGCCACCAATAGCATGGAGAAGGGCAGACGTCCTGCAGTGGGATATTCCTTCCACTATTCCAGCACCACAGGGACCTACATTGTGCTGGTGGTGCAGCCTTGTTTTTTGTTTCGTTTTGTCTTGCTATGTATTCCAAGCTGACCTCAAACTTGAACTTGTGGCAATCCTCCTGTCTCAGCCTTGGAAAGGGAGAGCAAAGCCACCACAAGACACAGCTGGGTGGCTTTTCCCACACACCTACCTCCTCCAACACGGACACCAAGCCTACAGCCATCTGCCAATGACACAGGAAGCTCCCCAGTGTCAGAGTTCTCCATTGGCTCCAGGACTTGCCAGTCCTGAGACTTCGTCCCCCAAATGGATCAAACTCGTGCTAGGAAGGGTACTTGGAGTATTGGCAGCCTGGCTGTGTCTCCTCACCTGAGTCCATATCTTTGTAGTCAGCCCCAAAATGCCTCCACTGGAAGCCATACACGGGACCCAGGTCCCCTTCCTGGCGGCTGGAAAACCCCAGGCTGTCCAGGAAGTCTCGGGACCCATTGGCATCCCAGATCTTCACGCCCTTGGAAGACAGTTCTTTGGCGTTTGTGGATCCCTGGAAGAAATGGCAGTGGGAACTGAGTAAAATTTTTTTTTTTTCAGTACTGGGTTTTGAACCCAGGGCCTTTGCACTAAGCTATAACCCAGCCCTTTTTATGTCATATTTTAAGACAGGGTCTTAACTGCCCAGGCTGGCCTTGAACTTAGGATCCTCCTGGCTCAGCCTCCCAGAGTGTGGGATTCCAGGCATGAGCCACCATGCCTCGGTCAATTTTACATTTCTTTAAACATGTTCTATGTCTAAATGTGCTACTCCAAAATGAATTTCCTGCCTGCAATCCATTCATATACCGGGCAACAGGATAATTTACTGATCAGAACCAATCAGTATTTGCTTTTCTGGCAAGTATTACCAGTCACACTGGACTAAAAGTGGACACTATTTTACTCATCTATGCTATTGTAAAGTTCCTTTTAGCCACAATATGTATTTACACAGTTGTTTTCCTGCTAAGTACAAAGCCTCGGGTGGTTATTTCTCTTACACTTCATCTCATTAGATCTGGCCTGTGACGCTCTGAGGAAGGATGAGGAGGTAGCCACATAACCCTAGGCCTTGCCTGGTCCTCCTACCCCTCCACCTACTGCTCCCCGCCCCAGCCTCGTCTATAACAGAGCACAGGCCCAGACAGCGCCAGCCAAACCCCGGGGCCAGGTAGAAACCAGCTGCCGAGCGGCCCGATTCTGCCTTCCCACCCACTCCGGGCTGCTGGGCAGGTACCTGCCACCTCCTGCTTGTGACCAAGTTGCCCCGGACCCTGTCTCAAAAATACCAAAAAGAAAAAGAAAAGCTCACTGAGCAGTGTCAAAGGAAGTGTTGGAGAAGGTTTTAGAAGTGGGAATGGCAAATACCATCAGCCTCAATGGGATTGTCCCAGTATTCCCAAGAGATTGGTAAGGAGGCCAGGGTGGTGAGATGGAGAAAAACTAGTGAAGGCCAGAGCCAGAAAAACAGCCCAATGAAAACCCTGGCTCTTCTTGAGTGAAATAGGACCCGCTAAGGGCTTTAGGCCGAGGTGTGACAGGATCTGACTTACTGTCTGTGTGTGGCCCTGGGCCTCTGCACTGAGACATCCCCAGCCCTTTTTTAATCTTTTGAGACAAGGTATTGCTAAATTAATTGCCCAGGCTGGGCTCCAACCTGCAGTCCTCCTGCCTCAGCCTCCTGGCTATGATCTGATAATTTAAAGGCTCTCACTGGCTTGTGCTAAGAAAGGACCCTCCACTTGTGAAGGCAGCAGCTTCTTTACCTTGATAAACCACAGCAGCTCCTCCAAAACACCCTTCCAGAACACACGCTTGGTGGTCAGCAGGGGAAACTGATCTGAAAAACAGTGTGCCAGACAGTTAGTTGGAACCTGAGAAGACAGGACTCAAAATCCGCTTTCTCTGTGGAGGAAACTACCGAGGGAGTGACCACGGGGGACACCCGGGAAGGCGGGAAGGCTGGGCAGCCCTCCTGAGCCTGGTGGCCCTGGACACAGGAGTTCCACACCATGCTGTGGGAGTGCCAGGAGAAGGCAGAGCGCTCACCGCCACCCAGGCAGTGTGACCTCCGTCACAGGGCAGGAAGACAACACCCAAACTGCACCCCCACCCAAAGCCCGAATACTTCTACACCTAATTCCACCACAACCCAGATCCACACTGTAAAAACTTGCGGATCGGTAACAAATACATGTAAAGCAAACTGACATATTATTTCAGTCTATCATAAACACCAACTGTTTAAACACTTCACTGCAGGATCCTGTTAATCCAGGACATGACCCAGCCAGAGCACCTTTATGCTCTTCATTTACAGGCAACAGGAAGCAATGCAGATGTTTACACAGCTTAAGGGACAGTGGGTGGGAGCAACAGGCAACAGAGAAATAAACGTGTAAAAGTTTATCTCTAAATGCAGTACCGCGGCAGTCCACATTATTGGTTGTATACAAGGTATGATTTTAAAGAAAAATATGGTGTTTAAATTTTTAAAAATTTTTTATAGTAAAAGCCATTGCCATAAATCTACCTGAAAATCCTCCCCCTCATTTTGAACACACTCATCCCACAGTTCTTGCCACTTTCCATAGCAATTTTAGAAGTCCTCTTTCGTGAGTATCTTTAGTTGCATTGTGGTGACTGCTTCTATGTCCTGAATCGATTCGAAATGTTTACCTTTCATGCTCATTTTGACCTGGGGGAAGAGCCAGAAGTTTCACCGTGGCAGATCAGGGGAATGAGGACACACTGGGATGTTTTTATGAGCCTGCTTTTCCATTGGGTGGCACTCGGCAACAGCATTCATGTATTTTTGATCACTGTCCCTAGAGACACTCAGGAAAGAGGACTCCAGAACTGCTTCAGAAAGAGGCAAGATCCATGGTGTGTGTTTGAAGGGAGGAGGAGGATTCTGAGGATTCATGGTAATGTGTCTTGCACTGTAATAAATTCTTTTAAAATGTTCACAGTATATTTTGATCACTCCTTGTAGCTGATATTCACAGAAGAGATTTTTAAATCAGAATTCCCTACTGAGCATTAACTCCTCCTCCTGTGACAAATGGAGAAGTGGAAGACCAGAGAGCTCGCCCAAGGTCTACCCAGAGAGGGTGGATTAAAAGACAGTTTGTGGCCAGGGATTTAGCTCAGAGGCACCGCGCCTGCCTTGCAAGCCCAAGGTCCTGAGTTCAATCTCCGGTACCGAAGGGGAGGGGCTGTTTGTGTTTCTTCAGAGTCCGCTCCTTCCAGGGTGATACGGAACGGATCCGGGGTGAAGTTTCCAGTCTCTGGAACAAGGGGAACCATGGAGGGTCCCCCTAAGCACAGTAAGTCTGCTTCACCAGTGGGTCTCCTCACTCAAACCCTGTCCCACACTTAGGCCGAGGATGCTCCTCACTCATCGAAGAGAGGTCAGTGTTACCCCAGGCTCGATTGCCTTGCAGGCCCTGCCCCCCAAAAGAAAACAGCAGGTCCTCAACCCAGCGTGACAGAAGCTAACGCAATGGCCCCCGCACCCTGTCCTCTGTCCCCTGCAAGCCTGACCCTAACCACCCCCGGGACACTTCTTCCCCAGGCCCAAACAGCTGCAAAGAAAAAGAGCAGAGGAGGAGCTAGAGCTCGGGGTTGGCGGGAAACTTTCAGGAACCCCACGTTCCCGCCCAGGGCCGCAGCGCCGTCTCCTTTCCCGCCTCCGGCCCATACTATTTTCGCTCCACTTTTGAAAAACTTTGCAAAGCCAAACCGCCCGGGGGCTCCCCGCTCCCCACCCGGGAGCGCCCGCGGGGACGCGGGGTGGCCGGGTCCGGCCGCCGTCCGGGGGGCGCTCACCTCGCAGGCTGTAGCGCGCCTGCATGCCGAACAGCGACAGCGTCCCGGTGCCCGTGCGGTCCTCCTTGCGAAAGCCGCTCTGCAGGATGTGCTCCACCTGCCGCAGGTACTGCAGCTCCGCGTGCGGCGCCGAGGGCTTCGCGCCCTGGTCGTGCGCGGCGGGCGGTGGCGGGAGCTGAGAGCCGGGGGCGGGCATGGTGCTCGCGGCTCTGGGCAGCGGCTGGCAGGGCGGGGCCGTCCCTTCCGGGCGCCTTTTCCGGGCGCCGCCCCCGCCCGCTCCGCCCTTTCCTGTGGGGAGCCGGGACCCCGCGCACGTGTGCCCAGTCTCCGGGAATTTAGCCCGTCCCCGCCCTTAAGACCCCTTGGAGCTCTCCTGAGGGCGCACGCCTGTCATCCTAGCACTCCAGAAGCTGAGGCAGGAGGATCGCGAATTGGATCCCAGCCTGGGAAGTTTAGCGAGACCTTGCCTCAAAATAAAAATAAAAATGCAGAGGGCCGGAGATGTGGCGAAGGTCATGGGTTCAATCCTCAACACCGATAAATAATAATAATAAAAAAAGCCTTTGGACCGGTAAATAAATAGTAAAATAAAAAAGAAAAGTCTTTGGAGCCGGGTGCAGGGTGCACGCCTGAATTCCCAGCACTGGGAGACTGAGACAGTAAGGATCCTGAAACCAAAGCCAGTCTGGGCAACATAGTGAAACCCAGCCTCTAAACAACCAAGAGAGCACGACCAAATCCCACATTCCGGTGCCTAGGCCCAGAAGGGTCGCTCTAGCTGCAAAGTTTCAGGGTTCACCCCCATCATTCTAAGCCAGGCTGCTTGGATCCCCTCCCAGCGCCCACGTTCAGGCGGACTAAACATTGTGGAGATCCGTTTCCTACAATGAAGGGCACAGCTAACTAGTGAGCAAGGGCAGCAATGCAACCTTTCCACTTGATTGATGAAGGCTGAGGTTTGGAAAGTTTTTAACACCGCACTGTTCAATTTTGCTGAAAGATTTTAGAATATAAACACGGGTGAGTCGGAGCGTGTTGACAATGAGTCAACTGCACTACTACAGTTTGTAAATACAAGCAACCTTCTTCATCAACTGTTATTTTTGGGATTTTGGATTTTTTGCACTGGAGATTAAGCCCAGGCCTTTCACACTGAGCTACATCCCCAGCTCCAGCCCCTTTTATTTTGAGACAGGATCTCACTAGGTTGCCCAGGCGGGGCTCAAATTTTCGATCCTTCTGCCTCAGCCTCCTAGAATACTAGGGCTACAGGCCACCACACCAGGCTTGCCTGAGTCCACTCCAAACTTTCTAATTAACCTTACCCTCCTTCCCTTCCCATAGGACGTAGACTGCAAAAAACCAAACAAAATGGTCCTCATCTGTTTTTTCTTTTGTACACAGTTGTATTCCCCAAGCCCTAAAACAGTACCCACAAGGTACTGCCTAAAGTCTGTAGGCATTGTTCTCTGGGCACTTTATTCATTACTCTTTTAATTTTTAATATTTAATATTATTCCCAATCTCATTTCACAGATGAGAAAATACGGTTAACACGTTACAAACAGGAAAGTAAATATATTAATCACTTCCTTTATTTTGGATATTAGTGGCTGCATGCTTGTAATCCCACCACTCCAGAGGCTGATGCAGGAGGATTACAGGGGATTTGAGGACAGTCTGGGCTACATAGTGAGTTCAAAGTCCCTCCGAACTATAAAGTGAGACATTTTTCAGCTTCAGCCTTGAACTTCCCAGGTCTAAATCCTCCTACACCCTGAACGCCTCTACCAACGCCATCAGATCTGCTAAGAACCGCCTTCTGTGCAAGGAAATCTGAGTTCGATAATTCACCTCAGCACATTTTTAAAGTTTACTAAAAATGGTTTAACACCATATTTTTCAAACTTCTCGCCGCCGCCGCACTGGTGAATTCAAAGTCGACATCAACTGTTTATGGAGCACATGGTGCTGCCAATCAGCCTAGGTTCTGCTCGATTCAGTTCGAAACCGGCAAAGTGCAGCTCTGCTACCAGTCCTGATGTCACCAGATGACACCAGATAACGTTGGCTGCCAACAGCTGACAGAGCCAGGTGCTGGCTGGTGCAGCTGCCGGTTCTCTGCTGCTGCCCATCTTCCTTGGCTGCTGATCTCTCAAGCTCTTCAGGGCAGCCTATAGTGTTCATTGCTTTCTTTTTGAAGACTACATGGCCCACAGTACCCGAGAAATAAGTGAGCAGTTTTACAGGACCACCAAGGGAGTCTTTATTTTAACGGGGTCTGGGATGCTCCATATGGAACAGGTGCCATGGAGGGAACCCTCTAGAAAAACCTCTAGGTATGCGGGGAATGCTGCTTATATAGCAGCTGCCGGCCTGTGATTGGTCCAAATGCAGGCCTGGGATTGGTGCAGGGCTCCAGGACAGCCTCGCTCTCCGGGGGCGGTGCTGAAACCGGGGGAATCTTCTGGAAGGCCGGTTGTGGGGTAGGGGTGCAGCGGGGCGCAGAGCCCCTCCCCTCAGAGCGGCAGCTGTAACCCTGAAGTGGGGGTGACGGTGAGCCTGCGCCGCAGCCACGCTGGAGGGTGAGGAGGACCGGGATGCGTCTCCACGGTAGGTGCTCAGCAAACCTGTCGGCTTGGGTCGGGGTATGAAGATGGGCTCCGGGCACCGCTGTGAATTTCATTTGTGTGCTGGCGAGTGAACCAGGATCTCACACGTGCTCTACCCAAGGCCCCCAGCCCGAGCCCGAGGTTCTCTCCTGGCTTTCTCCTGCCTAATGTCTGTGCCAGTGCAGAGGCTCGGCTCAGGGTCCCCACAGGCCGTGCTAAAGGCGTGGTCGCCAGCCTGTGGCACCGAGGGAAGGGGCGGAAGTGCGGCCTGGTGGACGGAAGTGGGGTCGCTGGAGGGCGTGGTCTTTGTTCAGGGACAGACTTAAGCGAAGATCACATTCATCGTAGGGAATTTGTGCCTCTACGTGATATGTTTTGCTTCTTTTTCCCCATCCCCCTCCCCTCCCTACAGCCCCTCTTCCCCTCCTTATTTACAAAAGCTTTGTTTCCATTTTTTCCCCTTCTATGCTTTTCCTTTGGGGGCGTGGTCTTAAAGAGGAAAGTGGGACCCTGGCTGCTGCTTCCGGCTGCCAAGGCGGAGGCAGCTCTGTGAACCAGCCAGAGTACCACGGACTGAAGCCTTGAGCCCAAAGTACCCCCTTCCCCCTTCCAAGTTGATTATCTTGGGTATTCTGCCAGTGAGGGAAGCTGACACAGCAAGTCCTTCTGCTCTAATAAACCTCTCAGACTTAAAATTTTTTTGATGGCAATATCCTGGGAGCAGTTCGGTAAGTCTCTTTCATCTGCAGCCCTACCTCATCTGGCCAGCTAAAACAGTGTCACGTGCTTTTATGTGGCATGAAACTGTCACACAATAAATTGACTCTTAAAGACAATTTACACAATAACCATTTGGGTTAATTGGAGAGAAAAGATGTACCAAGAACAGAATGAGGAAGCCTTTCGGAAAAAATCTCCCAAGCCCTGGTAGAGAATTGGTGCTGTTGCTATTTGGTGATATGAATGTTCACAAGGCCACAGTAAACAAATGCACTGAGTTACAGGACAGGAGATTTTTAAATTGGTTTCCTACACCCTCTTACTCGGCTGCCCTTTCCTAGGTCATTCCAGATTCTTTTCCTCTCCCAGCTCCCCCATCCCACTTCCAGACCAGTGAATTTTTGAAATCGATCTGTATTGCCTTTGGGAATGTAGACCTCCTGTAGGTAGCCCAGGTGAGGTCATGTTTTCCTCATCCATCTCAAGGTCAGGGCCGACAGCTCTATAACAGACAGGTTAACAAGAGTTACATCCCCACCCTTTTTTTTTTTTTTTTGCGACAGAGTCTTGCTATACAGTCCAGGCTGGCTTTGAACTCATTATGTAGCCCAGGTTGGGCTGAATTTATGGTGATCTTCCTGGCTCAGCCTCCCAAGTGCTGGGATTACACACATGTGCCACCATGCCTACAAAAGCAGCATTATTAATAGTGAAAAGGTGGAACCAACTCAGGGTCCATCAGTGGATGAATAGATCAGCAAAATTAAATCTATACATACAATGGAATATTACAAAACCTAAAATAGGAAGGAAATTCTGACATGTTACAGCATGCTCGATCCTTGAAGACATTATACTAAGTGGAACATGTGAACTGCAAAAGACAAATACTGTATGATTCTGCTTGTATGAGGTACCTAGAGCGATTAGATTCACAGAAACATAAAGCAAAATGGTGATTGCCAGGGTAAGGGTGGCCGGAATGGGGAGTTAGTGTTTAGTGCAGGAGTTGCAGTTTGGAAAGATGGCAGATGTTCTAGAGATGGATGGTGATGTTCTAATGCCACAGAACTATACACTTAGAAATAGTTAAAAATGGAAAACTTTATGCCATGTGTATTTTGCTGCAATAAAAAATATGCAGAAGCTATTGGTCTTTGCTAAATGAAATGAATTATAGATTTTAAAAAAGTGAATTATAATATACTTTAAATTCAAAAAGAAGTTGAAGGAAGAACCTTTACTAATTAGAAAGTGGCACATTTATGGAAATTGTAGAACATAAACACCACTCAATAATTACTTAATATTACAAAGAAGTACTAATGCATCATATTCTACATATGTACATTTGACTTTTTAGGAGGAAATTTTTATTTTAACTCAACCTGAATAGCTGTTGAATTACCACTCAACACAAGTAAATCAACAGTGCTTCCTAATATATGACTAACTTTCACCCAACTATGTTCATTGTGTTAGCCTGCATTGTATCTCAGATTTTCAGGTCTTGGCTGAAGGCATAATTCTTGTTGGTTATAGATTAGATTAGATCTTCTTACCTTAAAAAAAAACCAATAAAAAACCCCAGCAATAATCAAAAGGCTAGTTAATTACTTTTAGTGGATTTTTTTCTTGGACTAGAAGTTCAGAATAGGCAATAGAATAAATAAATGTGATTGGAAAAATTAATATATTGGAAAGTAATAGAAAAACCACATGTATGAATACTCTTAACATTTATTTAAAGACATCTTCATAGATCCCCTGATTCACTGAATTGGGTGTGTGTGTTTGTGTGCGTGGTAGGTACTGGGAATTGAATTCAGGGCCTTTCCATTGAACTTCATCCTCAGCCCTTTTTATTTTTTATTTTGAGACAGGGTCTAAGTTGCTAAATTTTCCA